GGGGGGGGGGGGGGGGGGGGGGGGGTTCCACTTAGGGTACGGTACTGATTTGATATTGATTGGATCAATATTGTTTTATGCGACTGAAGTGAAATATCAGTTAAATATAATACTTTGTCGAGTTAGAAGTGAATAGTAGATATCGAAGGGAAATGGTTCCTCTCTGAAGATACGCCATGCACTCGACTAACAATCAATATCGTGGACCTACTTGAATGCACTACAATACAAGAGGACCAACTCCGTCCACGAGTTAGGGTCTCTACTCTCTTGAACAGAGCAAGGGCTCTCTAGTTGGCCTCAGGGAGTAGTAGAAGACTTGGGGTTGGCTTTGAACAGAATTTTGCCGGAGAATCGACGACCCCGACCCTCTTCGTCATATTAGAAAATTTTGTTATGACGATCAGTCATCTGGGAAAAATACGGTCTGCCCTTGTCCTTTAATGGCCTAATCAAGAAGCCGGAAAAAAGTTCCCATCCTAAACTTCTAGAAAAGGCCACCCCTAATGGGCATGGGAGAGAAGCGTTTTATCGAGTCGATTTTCCTAATTTCCACGAACAGACCAGGCAGCAAACAAGATTAAATGTAGATAAGAGAGACAGAGAAAAACAAGGGTCATGTGAATTCCAAGGGAAAAACGATTCCAGAGCACTTCAAGTCAGCTACGTGGGAAGAACGGGTCTTGGGAAGTCTCGAAACGATGTCAGGTGATAGGTATAGGGTTTCATACCGTATCCTATAGACTGATTCCTGAGAAACTACTGCTCATATAGGACAGCTAATGCTAATGAATAGCGGCAGGAAACCTCGGGAGAGAGAGATACAGCGCCAATTTCTTCCAAGTAACAAAGTAGGTCATCATGTAAGTTTTTGTATCATCGATCTGGTAACAGAACTGCATTACCACTATTGATATTCGATGACTGGATGAGCTGATTTCAAAGAAATCAGGTCGGAAAAAAATTGATGACGGCGTCGTTGAGCAATGGTTTTCATTGTAATAAATGTACTTTACAAAGATGCTACATCAGTACATCTATAAAGATAAAAACGTGCAAAGCAGATAGTGCAGAGAGTGCAAAGGCTTCGGATTGGTTCGGCCCGCCGGGTGATCTTCGGGATCGTTTCTTGTCTTCGGGTACAAGCGTTTCTATCGCCTTATTTGCGGCCCCGCTCCCTCCCTATCCTTCAGTCCTATCCCCTGTCCTTCGATCCTACCCTCCATACTTCGGTCAAGCTCCTGTCCTCGGGCCCCTATTCGTAGGTAGGGGGGAGGGGGAGGTTTAACTTACCGGTATTGCATGGTAGGGCAGAGATGCAGGCTCAAAGAGGTATCGTACTTTACAACGATGTAATGGTTAATATGCATACTAGCACCTACTAGACTATGTGGAGTGTCAGTCGAGTAGGAGGCTTATCCCGGAAAACTCGCCCGCTTGTTTTTTTACCGACTGAAAAAGAAAATCGGGTGGATAAACGGGAACCTGTTGGATACAGAAACATTAGTCGAACATATTCTTGTCCTCTTTGTCCGCAGAGGACATAGTTTTTCATCCGGAAGACTAAGGAAAATTCCTTTCGAGTGATGGATGGACGGATGGCCAGAATAAGCTCCTGGCTCTAGTTCTCCCTACTTGATGAATATGTGCCCGATTTCTGATCGGAAAAATGCTCAAAAGTTAGGCTCTGGAGAAAATCTTTTAAGAAACCGCTACTTGTGGAAGTCGATCAGATAGAATCTTATCATATTAATGATTGGATGACACTTAATCATTTTGATGACCATTTTCAGTTGGAAAAGGAATCTAATCCAAAATTTCTTAATGGGACAACACTGCAGGGGCAAAGACTTATTCAAACTAAGAGATATCACTTTGGGGACAGTCCAACGACCATATCATATGACATATCATCCGGTTTTTCGCTGAGCGATCTTGTCTATGTGGGAGCAGAGAACAATCCCTACAAATACGTAACCCTACGATATGGGAAAGGGGTTGTAACAGCGGTGGGTAATCAACTTTCCCTGGGAAGTCGCCGAATAATGCATGAGTGTCCGCTCACCATAGTTAGCGACTGATTCGCTACGATGACAATCGAAAGTGACGTGTGAATGCCACCGAGGCACTGGCGCTCCGCACGGTCACTCAGAGCTTGCCAAGTGGAAGAAGGCTCATCCTAGACTCCGACAAACTGGGACAGGCTCCAACTCTCAAAAGCACAGGGGAATTCTTATAAGATTCGAGAATTGCGGACGAAACTTGGGTCCCGGACGGGATTCGGACCCGTACTTGGGCTATCTGTGACACCAAGTCGAAGTACTCTGGCCCTATAAAGTTCAGGAGAGCGGTTCATCAGGGGGCCGGATGGGCTGCTGTTTCACGGGAGTGGCAGTTTCAGCAGGAACCACTCTTTAAGAGAGAAACTGACGTTCGAGGCGATAAGGACAAACACCTAGAGAACCAGAATAATCAGCCACAGTGATACGTCAAGTACAATTAGAAGCAACGGTCAGTCACCCAACCATTACTGTACACAAATGAATGGCCACTGTACGCGGTCGGCATTAGGCCAAGACTAATACGTCACTTAGAACATTTCTTATAAGCCTTTTTAGGAGCATAATAAAAACTCCGCCGGTAGCTTCAAAGCAAACACCGCCAGAGACGTCTTTGCCGCGGATATTTAAAACTCGTTCAACTTCGACGATTAAGTCGTAAATATCGTACGATAGAAAGATGAAATGACTTACGACTGAACTATTACAACTCGCCAAAATTACACTTTAGTTCGAATCACTGATCACCAAGAGAGATACCATTTGGGGATGAAAAATGGAATGATACGGGAACATGGAATGGAGTGTGTAGAACGTTAAAGACATAGAAGTTCACGATGATTTTAAAGTATCCAGCCCAAGTGAAATAACTGAAGTAATACCAGACCATAGGCACAGAATAGTGCAAAAGTGCCGGAAGAAGCGAAGTAATCAGCGAATTTTGAAAAAAAAGGATTTGAAAAAGTTGGAAAAAAGGGGTTTATACGAGAATGAGTGCCTCTAGCCGTCTGGGTGTCTCCCACATAAGCGTACTATTCTTCGGCGTCCTAGCGCTTCGTTGTGAATGGCGCAGCCTTAATAAGGCCATCATGACAAGGCCTTTTGGATGTATGTCGACCGAGCCAGTTTTGGAGCCCCTATAACGCCCTATCGAAATCCTATTTGGATGCGACAATGTCCCACGTATTATCCTTGGGGAATACAGGTCTGGGGATGCGGGGGAGGGGAGGGGGGAGGGGAAACTCAGATTAGAAATCACCTTCGTAGTGAACTGTACCTTTAAGTGAACTGCGAAAACCTAGCTTCGTTGGATGTTCAGCTCCAAAGAGGGAACTCCCTTTAATGGAAAAAGCTCAAAGAATCTTGTACACTGAATGAGCCGTGCACCGGTCAATCTCCAACTATTGCGTCCCAAAGACCACCCTCTTCGTGAGGAACAGACAGGAAATCGCAGAATTTGCAAAAAGATAACTGATCGGTTCGGAAGGACGGCAGATTGTGAGAAACTTCGGCCTTGAACAGGATCCGAACCTGTGCTTTTGAACACCCATGCTCCTTATCTTTTGAATACCGCGATCCCGCTTGTCCTCGCCATCTTGATGGCTTTCGAACTATAAAATTCGAGAGCAAGCGGGGTCCGGTAGTGTAGATAATGAACTGAGTGGTTTTTGAACCTACATTTCAAGCTTAAATTAGTATATTGGCGGAAACTCTGACTCATTCGGTCTCCCGATTCACTAATTCCCTTCCAATAATATTACCTAATCCGGGTCTTCCTGATCCAACCCATTCCCTCCAATAGTTTTTCGTAGTACGGA